CTCTGGGCCTCAAAAACAAAGTTTTGAAGGCCTGAAGTGCAAAAATGAAGAACCAATTAAACAAGCTCATCGTCACCTGATTTGCTAAGTGCTAAAGGTACTTAATTTTTTAGCACGAATCATATCAAAAAATTTCCTTAAAATGTTTGAATGCTGACATTTTCTAAGCTTCTCTATAAACTCAATAGTAAAAGCACAGAAGACAGATTACTACAGTTAGCAATTTTAGAAGAGGTGGCCTAAGGGGGAAAAAAATGCTTAATTCAAAAATTACCCACATTACTTATCAATCTATTAAAAGAAATGTATGGGCTATCTTGAAAAACAGCATATAATTTCTTTGAGAAAAAAAGTTACCCTAGACCTAGTTAATGCTGTAGAAATATTTACATTGAAATGCTTATCTCATGTAATATCACTATATTTCAGGCTTTCAAAACAAATACTGAAAACATAGGTTAAGTATGTTTACCTGAAAAGAAAAAAATATATATTCTTTCCAATTTAGGGCATTTTTAAAATTTTAATGCAATTTTTGAGTGTTCTTACATGCTCAACCCTATACAACGTGGAGACAGGAGGATGACAATGACCCATTTGAGGCTAACAGTTTACAGAGCAGATTAATATCACAGTGATATTATACACACAAGAACAAGAGGGGCAGAAACACAGATGAGTACACTGGGTGACTAAGGAAGACTTCTAAAGAAAAGCGATTTTAATTGGGTATTGAACTGTGAGCAGGAGTTTCCCAGGTTTGTGGGAGGGGGAAAGAAGAGAGAGGAATCACAGAACAACACCATTCTGGTTCGAGTATAGAAAAAACAAAATGAGACATGAAAAGGACTTAGCAGATCCTAGAAAAATATGAGCAGTTGAATGCTACAGAAGCATATGGCTTGAACACACGGAAAGAGGAGGGAGGTGGTGGCAGGCATAAAGGCTGTAAAGACTGAAGACTTTAGGATCCAAATGCAAATGGTTTTTACATGCCAAACTAGGGAATTAAGATCTGATGAAACCGGATGAGCCACAGAGAATGTACAGTTTTCCAAGAAGAGATAACGACATGATTAATTTTATTTTGTAGGAAAGTAACACTGGCAGCAGTAACACTGGATCTAGGACTACAGTGAGGAAAGACTAATGGCAGAGAAACTCGGCTAACGTGCAAATCAGAGATGATGGTCAAAGGTAATGATAGTGACGATGAAGAGAAACCAGATTAAGAGAAGCAACTACATGAAGCAGAATCTACTGGCCTGAACTTCTACTTTTTTAAAATGCCCCTCCCTCATATGCGATACTTTCCCTTTTCCATATTTTTTCAATATAGATATAGTATCCTTTGCATGGAAAGTTTACACAATGAGATAGTCAAAACTGGAAGCAATATGGTCTTCTTCGTTTTTTCTCCCAAGGTATTAGGAGGGAAAACACATTAGAAAATGCAAGAACTCAAGATTCAAGAAACCAGGATTATAGGCTTGTCTTTGCCAAAACTATGGGCATGACAATCTCTTAAAACTTTGGTTTTCTCATTTGTAAAAAGAAATTAGACTAGATGACCTAAAACCTTTGAAAGTTCTAAAATATTATGATCATTAATAATATATCTTAAATCTTTGGGAGGTCTCCAAAAATGCAAATACTATCACCTATATTAACTATGAACCAATGTGAAAAACCCATCAAAAACAAGCAGACACTATTGTACCTATCATTTACCTAAATGTATCTACATGTACTGATTACATTTATTGTGAAGGATTTCATGACAGACATTAAGACACGTAGTTACCAACTACTTCTCATCTGAAACCCTTAGGCAAAACTGAAACTCTGTAAGATGGCTCTGTCAGCCATTTCACTTTCAATTACTGTATTTCAAAATATCCCCAAAAAGGAGCATTCTTTTATTGGAGTGGTTTCAAAAAGCTAAATGAATGTCTGCAAAGTTGAATGGTATTATTGTTGGGTATAACAGTTTTCAGACATAACGCTAGTATGGAATCATACTTGCCTGAATCTCTTACAAAAGAACATTTTTAACAATATTCCTTTATCAAAGAAAACAAGAAGTGTTTCAGACTTGATAAATATCGTCTTGAGATTTGTAACCATACTGTTATGTGACTTTTTCTTAACGTTGAAAGAAAAACTGTACTACAAATTCTTGCTCATAAAGTCTAGAAATATTCTAGTTTCTCTTCAAGAATAACTTTTATGACTGATGGAAAAAAAAATTGAGTCAAAAAATCCTCTTCCTTCAGAAAAGATGAAACAAATCTCACTTTTATTAAAGGTGAAAAACCCAGGTGTAAATCTTGCATCTCCATTCTGTTACAAATTTATGTAGCATAATTAACAGGGCCTAAGTTAAAGTCATGTTTCAAAGGAAATAACATTCCATGGTTTTGTAAACTCTACTATTAAACTATAAGCAGAGGCTTTTCTAATGAAGCTATATGTTACATTACTACTTCTAGTGTTTCTTCTAGAGACCTGAACAATTTTTTGCCTATATGCTACATTATATACACCAGAATAGTTCCTCTTTAAGGTACTCATGTGATTTCTCTCTTGCTCCCTAAAATAGCATTATACTTCTGAGTTAACCAAAATAAATTCTGGAAAGAGCTACACTGTAATTTACCATGATCAGAGTGTAAAATCCTTTAGGATGCAAATCCGTATCAGTTTAGAATCATCACTAAAAACTTTCTGTTCTTTCAAATCAGCTGGTATCAATGAACACAAAACTAATCTTGCTACCAAGGCACAAGAGATGTGGGTGTTCACTATAAAGCCTCAAATCTCAACTAGACTCTTTGTCTAAGAAAAAAGTCTTTATAGTGATTTTTCTTATATGTAATTTAGTTATTTAAACTAATGCTTTCAGATCCTAAAAGTTTTTTTAAGTATAAAAATTTTGAAGATACACAAACTGATCTTACTCTACCAAAGAGGCTTTATTAATTCTAATCAAACAAATTTCACTCAAGAAGGAAGTGTATTCAAATCAAAAATTTTATTAGAGGGGAAAATATTCAAAAAGAATAGAAGCAGGAATTAAATAATCTATTCAGTGTTGTCGCCTGTGCTATTCAAATACAATTCAGAAGCAGAATTTTTAACTTTTTTCAAAAGTTGCCTGCTTAAAAAATTTTTTTTAATCTTTAACAAAATTAAAATACATTTTAAAAATTCCAGTTCAAATATATTACGAAGTTAGCATGAGGAATATGAAAAACACCACCTCTGATTTGTTTGTAACGCTAACGTCCAAACAGAAAAGCTAGATGCTCTTTCCCCAAATATATCTGGTAAGACTCCCACAGGAACACCAGTATAACAAGCAGCATAAATATTCCAAAAAACAAAATACAATTATAGTACTTCGCACTCCAAGATATTCATTCAAGGACACTTGGCAATTAACTAAAGGAATTATGAGAAAAGTTTACAAACAACTAAATATTCTGGGGCCCATTCAGCTATAACAAGAGAAAAAAGTTATTTGCAATAGTAACGATCCTTTACACTTGCAAAGTACTCTGTAGTTTTCATGTAGTTATCTTCATGATAAAAGAGTTTATAAAGTTGTGCTAGCTCCTTCCCTGTATGAAATCAGCAAGCAGGCGAGCGCACGCACACTCCCACACAGTACTACTACTTTGATCCTAGAGTCCATCAATCAGCCCTGTCAATTACAAAAGCGTGCGCAGAACAGTAAGCAGCACTTCAGATCTTTCCATCGTCGTTATGGCTGATAATCAGTTCATTCAGAAATGTTTCGCTACGATCGTAAAAACTCTCTTCCACATAGTCTGATCGTCTTTAAAGTTTAAGCGGGATAGGCAGATGTTCCTGGGCTCCCTAACTCTAGGGAAGGGGAATTTCTGCCAGGATGGGCCCTCAGGTGACGACTGACTTAAACCCACCCTTCTCAGGCAGGGAACTGGTTCCACCTGTCCTGGAGTACCAGCCTCGTGCCCTCCAGGACGAAGGACAGGCGTTTTTCAATACAACGTCCAGCTCTTCTTTTCCTAAGAGAACAATCAGTAAGAGCTTACTAAGGGGTCCCTAAAATTATCTCTCACCGCCCAGGAAAACAAAGATTCAGGCCCAGCACTGTGTCACTCGAATCCCGTTCTGGATAATCTAGGTGCCCGATAAACCTCAGCACGCAGTCGTCTGCCAGAGGATGGTGTGGAGGACGTAAGAATACCCAAGGTGAGGCGAAATGAGGTACAAGAACGAACTCGGAAGTTCTGCCAGCAAAACGCGGTTCGTCTCTCAGAAGGTCCTACACATTCGAGGGGAAGGTGCGGAACTGGAAATTGAGAATGGGAGAAAGCGAACTCGCAGCCTGGCGAAGCGTCGTGAAGAAGTGGCCGCCAGGCACACGATAGGGACAGAAGGGACCGCGCCGAGGGACCACCGGGCAGGCTGGCCCCTAGGGCCAAGGTGCCCAACGGCTCACACCAGTGAGGCTGGCGAGGACCCAGGCGCTCGGGGCCGCCCGACAGACTCCTCCGCGAGGTTTCAAACCGCCGCCCCCGGGAGGCGCTCAGCCGATTGGAAGTTCCAGCACGACCGTCACCAGCAGCCCAGGGCCGGAGCGGCAACTCCTCGGCGGAGCTCTCCCAACCGTCTGCGTCTCCCCTGGAGACCAGACCCCCACACACAAACTCCACCTCCAACCGAGGTCCCAACTCGAGTCCCGCCGCCAGCTCCTGGCACGCGGAGAGCGCCCTTCGGGACCAGACCTACGCCCCCCAAGCAGGCTGCGCCGCGGGAGTTCGACGGGCTCGACGCTGGGGTCTGGCAGAACCCGCGTCCCTGAGAGTCTGCCCCGGGACGCGGCCCCGAGACCACCTCCGCCTCGCCCCCAGCCCGGGCACGGCCCGACTGGGCTTCGACCCACCCATCCCGCGAGGTCGCGGGCTGGGCGAGGACCCGAGCAAGCCTTCTCCCCCCGCCCCTGGTCTTACCCATCTTTTCGCCTCGCCTTGTAGACGTGCCCGTAGGTGCCGCGTCCCACTTTGCACCCTTCGTACTCAAACAAATCCTCCACCCGCTCCCGCTCCGCCGCCAGCTTCGCCTTGAAATCATAATCCATTGTCTGCTTTCCCCATAGAGGCACCGGGACGCGGGGGCCGCCGCCGCTCAGTCCCTCCTCCTCCTCCCCCCGCGACCGCCGCTCCACTTCTCCAACAGCCACCTCTCGGGCGCGCGCGCGCGCGCCGCCCGCCGCCCCGCGATTCGCCTTCAGCAAGGGACTTCTCGGCGGCCGCTGCAGCCACCTCCTCCACCTCCTCCTCCTCCGCGGCGGCGGCGGCGGCGGCGGCAGCTCCCGCAGGCAGCCCCAGTCCCGCCTCCCCCCTGCATTTCCTTGTTTTGGAACCTGGTGGGCCGCGCCGCGGCTTCCTCGAGCTCATTAACGAATCAGCCCGCCCGCCCCGAAGTCGCGGAGACTGCCGGGAAATATAGTTCCTTTTGCCTCTGAGATAATTGAGTTTTGCGGCCGAAAGAAATACAACTCCCATGCTGACATGGGTCGCTATAGCCCCGCCTCCAAGAGGCTTGCACGCCTGCGCACTGAGGCCGCCCCCACCTCAGGTAGCGCTGGACTGCCAGTTCCTGCGAAGGTAGAAAGCGCAAAGTTCCAGTGTGCTTTCTGCGAATCCGTGGGAGCTGGTGGAAAGAAGGCCCTTGTTGTGATGTAAGGAAGGTACTCTATTAAAACTGTCCCCGGGCGAGAAGGAGAGTGGAAAGTATTTAACAAGCGCCTTGCCCAGGAGTTTGCTCCAGAGGTTTGCTAGGCAAGGACTGTGGTTAGGGCAGTTACACTGAAGATTGTTGTTTGTTTTTTATGGCCATTGGCCCGCCTCTTGCCCCGCCCCATCCAACCGCTCATTGGCGAAGAAGAGAGAATGACGTCCTCGTTGATGCGTGGGTATCCCCTGGCTTTGGCTTCTTTCCGGCTCTTGATTGGTAATTGGGTGTGCTCGGTTCTTCCTGATAGGTTAATCTTTTTTCTTTACGATGCAAAAACCGTATTTCAAAAGCTGAACATTCAGCGGTTTCCTCGTTCTAGCATCAGCCAGAGAACTTTCGCGCCCCAGCAGCAAGTCTTCATTTTCTTAGCATTCTAATCATGGTCCCTTCCTAGCATATGTAGCCAAGGTTTTGGCCATCTGTCTAAGGACAATAAAAGTACCTGCGGGATGCAGCGTTTGAAAACAATCATTTGGGTTGGACTGTTGAGGGTTGTTTTTTTTTATGATTTTTCCACAATAGTGACGTTTTCCTAGAATGTTCAAGAAAGTCTCGTGCATAAAATGTATCAGATGCTTGTGATACAATCTTAAACCTGGTTAGTGCTAGAATAGGACTTACACAGAGGAGAAAATAGTCAATGCCACCTGAAGTGGCAAGGAAAGTTAATAGTGACCTGCCTGCTAGGTTTTGGAGGAAATCTGGAAACCTGGAGGGAGGAGGAAAGAGGACCGTTTATTTATTACAAAGTTTCCTGGGAAACTTCCTCAGATCTTGATGTAAATCATGAAGTAACTGAGTTTGTGTTGTTTCCCGGCACTATAGTAAGTGCTGGAGATGCCAGATGAAAACTCGTCTTTTCCACTGGGGACTAAAACGTATTGAAGTAATAAACATGAAAGCAAATTAAAAACAAACTGCGTGGGTACAAAGAGCAATAGAATAGGATTTCCGGAGGAGTCAGGGTAGGCGTCATGAAGGAGGTAGTTTTTTAAGCCAAAATTTGAAGAATCATATGGAGGACAAGTGGGGAAGTAAAAAGCAGAGAATTATTTCTCGCAAAATGGCATGTGCATGTATCATGAGAGAACCTAGTGTATTCTGACAAATGCAACCAGCTTGAACATTACAGATTAATTAAGGCAGGAAAAGGGGGTGGTTAAGAAATGACTGGAGAGATAAACAAAAGTTCAGATTATGAAGAGTTATATATATATAGTAAGTGGAAGCTTTAGATTTCCTCATTCTATAGGCAATAGAAAGCCACTGAAGACTTTTAAGCCAAGTTGGTTGACTCAGACCATCACTGAGAATGCATTGCAGATCAATTTGCCAGTCTTCCCCATTCAGCTTTCTTCCTTTTCCTTCGAGAAGTATTGATCTCATCAACATTCCGTAATAAACTGATCACGTGTTAATCTCCGTCTCAACATGTACTTCCCCAAGAGCCCAATTTGTGGAATTCCCCATGTGTGCAAGATGATATACCTTAGGGTTATTCATTGAGCATTGTTTCTCCTAGGAAAGGACTGGGAACAAAAATGTTCATTAGAAGAGGAATGGATAAATTACAGTACATGCACCAGTGGGTTATTATAAGGCCCTAAAAGTATTGCAAAAGCTACGAATGTGCCTCTCCGATTTCTTCCTTGCGGGAAGGCACCAGCTGATAAGCTTTGAATCTACCACTGCATTTGCAGTGAGCTCACAATACCCAACAATTGCTCCTAGCCTATGACTGAACTTAGAAGGATACTGAGACAGGTCCATTCCTGCAAGATGCTGGGTTCCTCTGAAAGTGACTCTAGCTTAAAAACTCCCCAGATTTAAGCCTGTCTGAAACTTAGAACTGTGTTGCAGTCTGAGTCACTGCCTACTCAACCATCCTTTCTTCCCTCTCTCCTTCACAAGAGCATATCATCAGGACCTGACAGCTCCTCCAGCTCCCTCCTTTCTCTCTCTCACAGGCATTTCCTCCAGTAAGTCTCTTACAGGTCTAATCGTATTTTGGCATCATGTGCTTTTCAGAAGACCTAAACCATGAGGCAGTTGTTTAGGTAATTAAATGGAAAAACCTCCAATATATATTTTTAAATGAAAAAAAAAACAAGCAAGAAACAGAAGATTGTCCCTAATATGCTAACATTTTTATACAAAGAAAAATGTATATATACTTGCTTATATAGGCATGACTTACCTCTAAAAGGACCACAAGAAAGTGATCAGGGGAGAAAAACTGCTTGAGAATCAGAGACAGGAGGGAGAATTTGTACTGCATACCTTTTTGAATTTTGATTCATGTAATGTCTTTTCAAAAGGTAAATAAAATTTAAATGAAAAATTTAGGAACTTGGCTAAAAAAGGTAGGAGAAAGATAGGATTGTAGCTACCAGAGTCAAGACAAAAGTTTTGTTATTAGTTTGTTTTTAATAAGAGGAAGGGACTTCTCATATATTGAAGGAGAAGAGCCAGTGGAGGAAAAAAAGGTGAAACCGATACACTTACAGCCATCCTGTTTTTCACTTTCAGTATAATATTCAATTAATTACAGGTGATATTCAACACTGTTAAAATAGGGTTTACATTCAATGATTTTGCCCAACTGTAGCCTAATGTAAGTGTTCTGAGCACATTTAAGGTAGGTCAGGCTGAGCTCTAATGTTCAGTGGGATAGGTGTATTAAATTCATTTTATTTTCAATTAACAATGGCTTTTTACAGGACACAATCGCATCGTAAACTGAGGAAGATCTGTAGTAACTTTTCATTTCTATATGATGTGGGAAGCACGATCAAGTTCAGAGGACAGAAGAATCAGTGGGAGTAAGGGCAGGTGGCTTGAGGAAAGAATGACAATTTTGGGCAAGTAATTGGGGTGAGAATGAGAACTAACATTTACTGAATCCTAGGTATTTTATATAAGCTAGCTAACATAATCCTTACAAGTACTCTGTGAGGAAGTTATGCATTATCTCCATTTTACAGATAACAATACTGAGGCTCCAGGAGGATAATTTGTGTGGTCGATCAATGATACAATTTAGCCCCAGGTCTCTAAGATGATGGAGGATAGACCACACTGCCAAGTACTGTTAGTGTACATTGGGCTTTCCTGGTGGCTCAGCTGGTAAAGAATCTACCTGCAATGCAGGAGACCTGGATTCCATCCCTGGGTTGGGAAAATCCCTTGGAGCAGGAAACAGCTACCCACTCCAGCATTCTGGCCTGGGGAATTCCATGGATTGTATAGTCCATAGAATTATAAACAGTCAGACATGACTGAGCGAAATCAAGATTAAATTATCCCGTCGAGACATTCATCCTCTTTGTCGTTGATTCTACTTTTATATGTTAAAGTTACCATGTCTTTTTGTTTCCTTCATATTTGATTGATATCAGTCACTAGGTCCCCCTTCTCAGTGCACAGAAGACTCATAGGGTTTATGAAAGTGAAAGTTGTCAGTCGTGTCCAACTCTTTGTAACCAACATGGGCTGTAGCCCGCCAGGTTCCTCTGTCCATGGGATTCTTCAGGCAGGAATACTGGAGTGCGTTGCCATTTCCTTCTCCAGAGGATCTTCCCAGCCCAGGGATCGAAGCCAGGTCTCCTGCATTGCAGGCAGATTCTTTACCATCTGAGCCGCCAGGGAAGCCATCTGAGCCATAGGGCTTATGAAATACACAGAATTTATAGTTGCCACTGCCACTGAGATGTTCATTTTTCAGTATATGTAACAGGCTTTCCTTGCCTTTGCTGTTGCCACACAACCAGCAGCAGTTCTCCAGTCAGTCAAGTTTCAGAGTATTAACTGCTATGTAAATACCTGTTACTCTTCTGGAAGGCATATTTAGTTTACTTAAATATTGATTTAAAGTCTGAGAATAAAGCCTCAAGTTTAAAGGCTAGTGGGGAAACAGATTCTAGACTCTTTAGTACAAGTCAGTGCCAGGGAAGCTGAAGAAGAGGAATTAGAGGCAATGGGATTAGGAATCAGACCTCTCTCCCTACTGGAATGAGGATACAAGCCAGATCAAGAGAGGGATGCCCATCTGCTGCTGATCCAGTGGAGGAAGAGGTTCATGCCTATGTCAGTTTCCTAGCACTCTTCTAATAAATTTCCATAAACTGAGTGACTTAAAATGAAAAGAATTTATTTTCTTGTAACTCTAGAGGCCAGAAGTCTAAAATTAAGGTGTATATAAGGTTGGTACCTTTCAGAGATCCAGAGGGAAAATCTGCCCCATGCCTCTTGTCTTCAATTCTGACCAGTTCAGTTCAGTTCAGCTGCTCAGTCCTGTCTGACTCTGCGACCCCATGAACCACAGCACGCATGGCCTCCCGG